TGATTTCGGTAGGAAAGCCGATTCATAAATCACTTTAACTTTTGATTAAGCGAGATGTAGCAAAGATATAAGTATAGTTTGCAGTTATGATTCAAATCAGATAGTAGGTGCAAACTGAAATATGATATTCGTACGAAAAAACTGATTTACGTCTAAATGCTGATTCATAAATCACTTGATTAAGCGAGATGCAGTTAAAGCAAGGATATAAAGGCAGTTTGTAGTTATGATAGAAATCAAAACGTAAATGCAAACTGAAATATGATGATCGTACGATAAAACTGATTTACGTCTAAACGCCGATTCGGAAAGTGCAAAACTTGAAACCCGATCGTGTATACGCAGAAGGCAGTAAGCTTTTGAGGAGATTTGCAGTAAGGATAAGATGCTCAAAGTAAATGCAAACCAAGATTTAGAGTGGTTCGGTCAATCTTGACCTACTCCACTTTTGGCTTCCTCCACCGACGAGGTCACCGATGTCAACTAGAGGCCTTCCTTTAATAGGCGAAGGCCAACCACCCTTTTACAGTTTCACTCCTTTTGACGGGCTTAGGAGACAACCCTTACAGAATTTTCTATCCTCTCTTTAAAGATCAGAATTTGGAAGAAAAGAGGGAGAAGAACTTTTGGCCTTTACAACAATTTTGAGCTCTAAGAATCACAGAATAAGATTAAGATTTCGGTGTATGTTTGTTGCCTTTCAATGCTGAATGGGTGGGGTATTTATAGGCCCCAACCCAGTTTGAATTTGGAGCTCAAAACTGTCAATTCCTGGAATTCTGGGATCTGGCGGTTGCACCGCTTGGTAGAGCTCAAAGACTGAGCCTCTAGGCGGTGCCACCTCTGTCAGGGGCGGTTGCACCTCCTGCCAGAGCTCGAAGACCGAGCTCAGGCGGTGCCACCTCTTGACTGAGGCGGTTGCACCGCTCAGCCAAAGCTCAGAGACCGAGCCCAGGCAGTGCCACCTCTGTCAGGGGCGGTTGCACCTCCTGCCAGAGCTCGAAGACTGAGCTCAGGTGGTGCCACCGCCTGACTGAGGCGGTTGAACCGCCTGGCAGAAATCAGGGTCCAAATGGGTTGATCCATTCGACCCAATTTGGATTTTTTCAAGGGCCCAATTGCCCCAAGATTAAGTTAATGGGATCACCTCCCATTTCCAACTTAATTATTGTGCTAACTACGATTTTTCCTAAGATATTTACTGCAACTTGCTCCGGTGCGTCAATCGCTTATTCCAGCGAACTTCCGTCGATCATCCGATGAACCCTCGGTGATGCTCCTACGGACTTCCGGCAAACTGCTGGACTTGCGACGATCCACTTGGCGAGTTTCGACGAGCTTCTTTGGCAAGCTCATGGACTTCTCGGATTTGTTCCCGCAGAACCTCCGACGACTGTCCGAAATTCCGTCGAACTCTCGAACTCCCAACGTGATCATTGTCTTGACTCCGGCGCAACTCCTGATGCATATCTTATTTTCATCGTAGTTAATCCTGCATACTTATCTCAACATATAGATTAGATAACAAATGACAATTGACTTCATCATCAAAATCCGAGATTCAACAGAAGGAAGGCCTTTAGTGGACACCGGTGACCTTGACGGAGGAGGAATCCGAAGTGGACGTAGGTCTCATTGACCGAACCACTCTAAATTCTAGTTTGCTTTTCATTTTGTGCAATTTACTTTACTACAGATCTCCTTGAGCTTCTCCTTACATTCTTACGAAAGTTTTAAGTTCAACATCTTTTCAAAACGATTTGAATTAGGATGAACTTTCTACGAAATCGAAGAATCTTTCACTGCACTAATTCACCCCCCCTCTCTTAGTGTCGCTCTTGATTCTAACATTTAGAACATACAAGCTAGCAAGTTTTCTTCTCTTTGAAATGTGCAAGCTAGCAAATTTTACATTATTTTATAACATGCAAGCTAGCAAATTTCACATCATTTTAGAACATGCAAACTAGTAAGTTTTCTTCTCTTTGAAATATGCAAGCTAGCAATATTTTCTCCCCCTTTGTTATCAAAAAGAAGGAAAGAATACAATAATCAAATCATCATATGAAGAATATCAAAAAAATTAATTTAGTGATGAGATATACACTGGAGTACTAAAATAACTTTCAAGTTGTAAATCAAATATCAAAAAAAATCAAGAGAAAAATTATGATTCATTTGGATAAATCAAATAGCGAAAAGAAGAATCATAGTAAACGATCTTGATTCATATAAAGAAAATCTCAAGTTATAATTCCGAGAAAACAAGATCATGATTTAGATTAATAACTCATTTAAATTCAAATCGTCATATCATCAAAATTACTTTCAAGAGATTCAAAATGATATAAATAGATTTATCAATCTCTTGAAATACTAGAGATTTTCTTTCTTCCCTTTGTCATTGTAAATAAGAAAGAAGAAGAGAGGAATCATATAATTATCTAATTCATTTCCCTTTATATCAATGCTCTGCTCATAACATAAAGTTTACAACCATAAATATAAATGAATTATTCATAGTGAGAATCATGTCACGAAAGATAATATCAAAGATCATATAAATACTAAAAGACATGATTTATTTTAATAAATATACTCTTAAATAATAATAAAAAAATATTATGAGATCAAATAGTAAGAAAAATATTAATTCATGAATTCTGAAAACGATATTCTCTTTAGTAAATAGTGAATAGAATCATAGGAGATCCAATAAGAGATCTTGATTCACATAAAATAAATCTCAAATCATTAATGTCAAGAATTGAGATTTGTCTAGATAAGTCTTCTCTCAAAAGATAAAATCATATAAGAATGAAGTATGAAGTGATTCATATAAAATACATCTCATGTCAAATAAATCAAGTGTTTGGATAAATGAGAAAACAAATTGTCAAATCCAAAATCATCATGAAAATCATTTTTTTTTCATTCGAGAAATTTATTGAAAGTAACATAGATTGATTCCTATAAGATTAAAAGTAGCTAAAGTTCTTTTAGTTCCAAATTTTGTGATTAATTTCATGCTCTAGTCTTCCATACAAAAGCCATGCATCATCATTTAAAATAAAAAAGCAATACGAAAATCATAAAGATATACATTATTGCTACTTAAAACATACACAGGTTTAATCTTATTAGATGTATAAGTATTGGATTTAAATCTAACATTTTATTCCTTTATCATAAAATATGCAATTGTCATAATCATTTTTTTTAAATCACTAGAAAGAGAATCATGATCCCCTCCGGGTTTTTTTTTGTATTTTATATACTAATTTAAAAATAACTCATGAAATGCATCAAGTAATTTTATAGTAAAATAAAGGGGTTTTGGTTAAGTCACTTATCTCGTTGTCGAAAGTTACCAAGGCGTAGTTGTCAAAAGCCACCAAGGCATCCCAAGTCACCTTAAGTGTATTCTTCTTAGGCAACTTCTTCTTCAATTTTATACCCTCATCTTTAGAGTGCTCCGGCTTTTTGCATTCATAGCAAGTGGTTGTATCCCTTTTTAGTTCATTTTTATTTTTTAATTATTGTTTTATGAACATTTTAAATTTTTTTATCAAAAGTTCTATGTCACCACTTAAGCCTTTGCTCAAGTGGTCTTCTTTTGTTCTAACTATCAAATCATTCATGTTCTTTGGAAGATTGTTCTCACGTTCGTCTTGTGTCATACAACTCATTTCATAGGTCATTAAAGACCCGATAAGTCCTTCAAGCAAAAAATTATTTATGTTCTTTGCTTCTTGAATGGTAGTTGCTTTTGGATCCCAGTTTTACGAAGAGAACGTAAAATTTTATTAACAAGTTCAAGATTCAAAAAACTTTTACTAAGTGCTTTTAAACTATTGACGGCATCCATAAAACGGGTGTATATGTCTCCAATGGTTTTGTTTGGTTTCATATGAAATAATTCAAAATCATGCATCAAAAGATTAACTTTATAATCTTTAACCCTACTTGTGCCTTTGTGTGTGACTTCAAGAGTATGCCAAATGTCATATGCTGTTTCACAAGTCGAAATATAATTAAACTTGTTTTTATTCAAAGCTCAAAATAAAGAATTCATAGCTTTCACATTAAAGAAAATATTTTTTTCTTAAAGTCAATCCATTCATTCATAGGTTTAGAGGGGGTTTGAAAACCAAGTTCAGCGATATTCCATAAATCAAAGTTCAAAGAAAGCAAGAAAACTTTCATCCGAGTTTTTCAATAAGTATAGTCTGTCACATTGAACATAGGAGGATGGGTGATAAAAAGACCCTCTTGAAAGCCAAAATAAGCTATCTCTTTTGGGTGTTAATCCAATCAAGAAAAACTTGGCTCTAATACTAACTGTTAGGACCAAGTCGGCACTAAGAGGGGGGGGGGTGAATTAGTGCTTTCGTAAAATCACATCGATTGAAAACTTCATTCAATGAAATCGTATTTGAAAGATGTTTAAACTTAAAACATTTGCAAGAGTAGTATTGAGTAGATAAAGCAGTTAGAAAATAAGTAAACAAGTAGAGAAAGAGAGACACACAAATTTTATAGTGGTTCGATTGTCATGACCTACATCCACTCTTGATTTCTCTTCACTCGAGGCCACTGGCTTCCACTATCGATCTTCTTTCAACAGACAAATATCAACTACCCTTACAACTCTTTTTCCTTTTCACAAGTTCATGAGAGAACCTTTACACTTTTCTCTTTTACACTTAGACCTCACTTCTCTCTTTAGAAGAACTTCTAAATACTATGAAGAGGTGACTCTATACTAAGAGAGATTTATAACTTTTTTTCACAAAGATTTTTTCCCCCTTTTTTAACTCAATTTCATGCTGGGCCAAGTAGAAATATTTAGGGTATTTATAGACCCCAAATGGCTTAAAAAATGAAGCCAAAAAAGGTCTCATCCTAGGTTTTCCGAGTCCTAGCAGTACCATCGCTTGTGTTGGACGGTACTATCATCTACAGCACTAACACTGAATGGGCCAAACAATAAGCCCAATTTAGCCCTCATTCAGGCCCAATGGCTGCCCAATTGAGTTGGCCTAATTCCAACCCAATTACAACTTAAAACTACTTCGATTTAGACAATTATTATAAAGCATTAGTCACATGTTGTCCGGCATGTTATTGGTTCATCGGCGCTTCGTCCAATCCTTCGGTGCATCATCCTCTTTTGTGACCTTTTGCCCAATCGACATATTGACCTTTACAACTCCAATCTCCTTAGCACAATGTCCGTTCTTCTAGGCCCAATGCCCAAACTCATGGCACAAACCTTATGCTGACACGTCAACCGATCGCTTGGCACAAAGCAACTATCTACAGCTCTATAGGAAAACTCGTTGTTGTTCAAACTGTAGGTGTTTCATTTTTTGTAATTTTTTAATTATATATATATAGCTGTTATTGAATGAGTTATACGTAAATAATGTATTACCCAGTAGGCGGCCGTGAATCCGGCGACCCCAGAAGAAAGATGGATGACGTAGCCGCCGGAGTAGTCGATGACTCCCCAGTGGTAGAGGAATCCTCCTCCCCAGAGCGTGAAAGCACCGACGGTGTGGGAGAAGAGCAGCCACAGGGGCACGAAGGCCATCCAAGCCTTGATGTTCATGTGACCGAGAACCGAGCCGGCGAGGAAGATGAGCGTGATCGCCGCGAACATGAACTCGAAGTAGACGAGGGAGGTCATGCTGTAGAACGGCTCGATCATCTCGTTCTCCATCGTGCCATTGCGGAAGAAGTGGGTAGTCGCCGCCAGTTTGGCGCGGTGGAGGAGGTAGTCCTGGCCGAGGGCGGGGCCGGCCTTGCCCCAGAAAGGGAGGAGTCGCTCGCCGAAGGCCATGCGGAAGCCGACGAGCTCCCAGATGATGAGGGTGGCGGCGAAGGCGTCTAGGGCCATGAAGGCTGAATTTACAGCCCACTTTTTCTTGACGATGCTCCCGTAGAGCACCACCAGCCCCACCAGCGTCGCCGCCGCGAGCTGCCACCCGTTATCGCCGTTGTTGAGCCATTCTGGCATCGCCGGGAGATTTGTCTGGTAGGCTAGCGGAATGGCCATGCTGGTGGTGAGAAAGGTTTGTTACGGTCAGTAACTGTTCAGCCGTGGCCCTGAGGTCGTCGCGGCTTGGTCCGGGTCCGGAAGGTGGTGGTCAAAGGATGGGGAGTCTCCCCGAGCCCGCTGGGTCCCCCTGGGCGGTGATCTCCGAAGGCTTTGCACCTGCATCAAGGCCGGGTCGGGGTGCTTGACCCGACCCCTCCGACGATCAAGTTAACGAAGGATGTGGAGGGGGTTTTGGGAGGAGGAAAAGTCTCCCCCGTATTGAGCGTGTTGAGAGAGTCCCCCCTTTTTGCTCAGGACTTGGGGGTATTTATAGAGAAATCACGTGTTACCTGACTTGACCGCCTGCTGGAGTGAGGTGGTACCTCTGATGGCGTCTGACGCGGCCGCTGGGGTCGCGTGGCGGAGTGGCTCGTAGCAGGGTATGGGCGAGGGGCAGGTTGTTGTCCGGCCTGGCCGTGGTCAACCATGCAGGGTCGGGCGTCGCCTCTCGACAGCGGGGGTCGTCAGGGCGAGTCTAGTCGGCGTTATTGCTTTGGCCGGGGGCTGTCGTCATGGTGCGTCAACCGTGCCATTATTTTCCCTATCAAGGTTGAAGGCAGGATTATACATAAACTAGTGGGACTTGGACGACGAGAAGCTGAAAAGAGATTTATATAATACATAGCCAGGACATAGTTATCAATCAGGTCAACAAAACCGTGGGTTTTGGTAGGCTAATTGTGTGGCATGATGTGAGACTTGCTACAATATTAATGTGCGCAGGTTTGATGGGGTACGCGGTTACTCGACGGTGGCGATGTTGAGCCATTAGATTACGGCGAATCCAAAAGCCGTCTTGTTGATTGGGAGTATAACAAATATGGCTATTCACGTGGGTGGGCGTGGAGCACCTGCGCATCTTGGGGTGTGCATGCAATTTGGCGGACCCACGTGCCTTGGCGAAATAGACTCGCTCACGTCGAATCATGTGAAAGATTGGCAGCACTGCGTGACGGGGATCAAGGCACACGCCATGAGCATCCCAGTACTTGATAGGATCGTCTCGAAACTCGCATTAGGTTTCATGACACCGAGGTGCGTAAGGGGATTGCTTGTTTTAGATAAAAGGGTTAGGCCGATTTTAACACTGTCATTTTAGTCAACTTACAATAAATTATTTTATATCATAAGTGTTAAAATTATTTTAGAAACACTTAGTTAACTTACAATAAATTATTAAATAATAATAATATAATTTAAATTTAAAAAAAATTCAGATTCATTTTTGCTCCTATGCTTTTGGTCATGGATCACTAAAGCCTTTATGGTTTACTCATGCCTAAAATAATTCTTATATTTTTAAAAATATAGCATATAAATTATTTTCGTCAAATCTGAGTTAACATATGTCTGAGATTACTTACGTGAGATATTGACTCATAATAAATCATTAATATTCATAATAAATCATTAATATAATGACGTGTATAATTTAAGTTAAAAAAAATTAAAATCTCCATCAATGACGAGAGGAGATGTCGTTGTATAAGCGACTACCAACAGCAACATCAAGTCACTGTTACCTAGTAGGGCGTTATAAACTCATAACCTCTCCCATGCTAACGATAGCTTAGGAGCTTCCGATCCTGTCTTAGGTGGATGTATGTTGATCAGTCTGACTCTAGGCATGCAATAGTCTTTTGGTCTCTCTTTCTTCTCCTAGGCATCTTCATCCCCATTGTCTCCCACTTCGTCCTCTCCTGCACCCCCACTCGCCGCATCTACGACGTAGTGGTCTAACTTTCTCTTGTCCTCATCCTCGACAAGCTGGTCGGAGAGAGCAAACGGGTGCAAAAGGGCTATATAGACCATCTCAATTGCTCCTTTCGCCCATTCTCCATCTTCGTGATGTCATGCTTCGTGAGAGAGGTGACCTACAAGGTATAGTGGTGCTCGTTGGAATCGAAGCGAGTGTCATTCACAATGGTAGGCAACATCGTAGTGGGCGACATGGTGACATACGTTATGAGCTAGATCTATCATATGTCACTTGTCATTGTCAGTTATCATTTAATATCTTTTGATCATCATTCTTCTATGACGATACTATAATATATATATATATATATATATATATATATATATATATATATATATATATATATATATATATATATATATATATATAT